AAGTGGAATAGAGCCTGTTTTATCTGGCCTCCCTCTTCACTTGTCCCCCACTTCTAAGGCTGGTTACCGGCTACGAGCCAGGGCTAAAGCAGCTTAGCCATGAACCAGAGGTCCCCGACAGTTTGGGGCTGCAGATCTGGGAGGGTAACACTGTATTTGAGAAAGTTACAACTAAAAAGACATTTGATGCTGCAAGAAGTAAAACCAGAACTAACATTGGTGAAAGATGTCGACAACTGAGAGAATAAAAGGGGCAGAAAAGTGACACCACGGTGGCCGTATTTCTGCTGGACAGGTGATTATCGGTTTGGTTGTGTTTGTTATTTACCTGAAATATAGAAATAGTAGTCAAGCAGCGCATGTTATGTTTTGGAGGAATGGCTTTGGACAGAAGTCAGAACAAAAGGGTGGGATTTCTTTGGTTGTCTACTTTCAAAATCAAGCTTCCTCTTGCTGTTTTTTTCAGGATCACCAACCCTACCTTTAATATGTGACTTTAAACCTGAAAGAGAACTGAAGCTTGGTGGCTGGACGTACCTTTAGGCTTGACTCATAGTCTGTGTTGACCTTGAACATGAGACCCAGCCGCAGGTGGATCTCCTTGGCCCGGGAGAACCCTGGATCAATGTACAGCACCTCCTGGAATGCTTTGATTGCCCTGCCGGAGAAATGAAGACAATGATGGAGAACAGCATCAAAAAGAGATGCAGGGAATCAACCCAGATGATATATAAAACTGTATGAACTTTTATCTGTTCTGGACCAAAGGAATCAACCAACAAGTATGAAAACAAACTGAGCTTTTGCACATTCTGCTGGTTAGACAGTTGGTGCAGACTCAAATCACGCTGCATGTCTGCTATGGTGAACTGAATACCAAAGATGGTCCGTCCACAGTAACTGAGAAGTAACTCATTTGTCAAGACTGCTTCACAGTCAGTTGAATCGACTAATGCTGCAGTAGGACATCAGCCAAAGCAAGCTCTGGTTGACATTCTGCACTTAATATGAGAAATGCAACAGCAAAGAGGGAATTTCAGCCATTTCCTTAGGATTTTCTAAATGAACATACATGTGTCTCCAGAAATTAATAAAGAACAAAACAGCTGCATTGGCTGATGTTTGTGTCCTATGTGTCCAGACGTACAGAGAGGTGGTGACTGATTGGTAATTTATCCAGAACTCAAATCCCGCCTGGCTGTGGAGTTTCCATGGTAACAACACAGAACAGCCTCACTAAAATTCAAGCTTACAGCTGGAAATAACACATAAAACAGATGCTGAGTACATCTAATCTGAGTAATCCTGGTTTCACTTTTCTGTTGACTTTCCACTTTGCATTATTTGTCTCGTTTAAAGTGTGTTCAGCTGTGACACAGCAGGACTGCTCTGCTATTTGCAATGAAATGCACAACAAAACAAATGATTTCCCAAGTTGTCTGGCATGGTTCTTATCCCTTTGCCCTGTACTCTGTATAAATTTAATCCTGTCCACACAAGAGGTTCTAGGCTATGCTGGACTATTTCTTGGCTGCTTCTAGCAAATAGTGGAGACTCCAGGAAATCACTGCTCCCATCTGAGAAATAGCCTGTTACATAACCCACCCCCATAATAGTGAATTATAATTTTTTTCACTTGGGCTTTTGCAGAGATTAAACAAACAATTCATAACATGTTAATTAGTGAACCTTAGCCGTACTGGTAGGTGGATTTGGCAAACTGCTTTAGGTCTATTCTACTGCTGATCCAGTTATATATTTACATACAAACTGGGAATGATACTGACCTTCTCATCTGACTTGCAACAGGAAAGCACATAAGCACATTTCCCAAATTTCAAACTATTCTTTTAACAGCTGAGCCTTTTATACAGAGCATTTTGTTGGAAAAAATATTAAGGATCTTGGTGCATTAATGTGGATCCCTTAATTACCACTGACTCATTAGTGTGAAATGGGTTTTGTGCAAATGAAATAAAGAAAGCTGGTACTCACCACTGAAAGGCATTATAGTGGAAGTAGACCATTCCCAGGCCGTACAGAAAGGCAGCATTCTGGATGGGACAGAGAAAGGTGCAGTGTCATTACAGGAGAGCCACAGTGTTTTAACGTTGTTGATCAATCTAAAACAGTTTATTTGCAACACAATGACACTGTTTAGCTGTTTAATTTTATCCCCTAAAAGTTCAGCAAAGGTGAGAAAATATTCAATTTCTTGCCCTGGTAACTTATATCAAGGCTGCTGATTCAATCATCATTATATCAACATGACTCAGAAATTATGTGGCCTTGCAAACAGAAGCCACACATATTTACATAACCTTGCGGCTATTTGGTACAACTCAGTAATCAGCGAAACCAACAACTAGCAATCAATCTCACCGCAAAGTGTCACGTTAACAAGCAAGAGGTTCAAAATGACTCTGACATGAAACCTGAAACTGGCATCTAACCCAACTGAGACTATACATGCTTCCTGTGCATAAGTAAATGTGTGGGAAGGAAAGAACATGAATGTGTGTGTTTGAGTATCACTGACTGAATGAGCAAGCGAGCATGCAGGCACGTGTGTGCGTGTGTGTTTATGCACCTTACCTTCCAGTAGTCTGACTGTAAACTGTAGTACCTCTGGTATGCCGATAATGCTGTAATTGAAAGGAGAGGGAAAGTGAGAATTAATCCATGTCACCACAACACCACTAAGGAAAAAAACTGTGGGCAGTCAGCATTTATGTCAAGTCAAGTGCATGTCTGCAGATGGAAAACCAGCCACGCAACTGCCTTCAAGTCCAGGTAAAGTAAAAAATGATGTGTTCTGAGTTTGTCACACCACAGGAAAATGTGTTATTAACCACCCAGCCAAATCTGAACGATTAAAAAGATCACCAAGTATATAAAATCTGCTTTCAAAATCATGAAAAAATAAGGAGTATTCTCTGCCCTGAAACGCTGGGGGCGTGTCGGGTGAAGACAGTGAAACCATGCCCAATCACGGCAATGTGCCGCCTGTTCTCATCATAGATGTATAAGGGGAGAACATTTAGGAAAGAAATATGGTTTTGATGTTTATGGAGCCACTTCTCCTTTGTGGTGATGTTTGAACGAGAGTTGTTGATGCTTGGCTCCTACAAACACACACAGTTAGCAGAGAGCTGCTGTGGAGCAGTGGAGACAGGGAGTCCAGAAGAAGTGAACCTAACGTTTACAATACCTATGCTCGTTACTGTTCGTGCAATAAAAATGTGCAAAAAGGTCAGTAAGAGTTATTTAACAAAGCACCGGCTAAATAAGCATAAAGTGAAAATGTAAGCTTTGCCCACAGTGTGTGAGCTTGTTAGGCTAACGGCTAATAGCTGACTGTGGCGATCTCTCCAGTACAGCAGCAGCTGAACGGTCCACTGTGTGGCCATTAGCTCCCTCGCGTCTCTCTCCCTCCACCAACTACGGTCGGTTCACCCTCGCTTCACCACGTTGACCATTCAGATGTTCCGACCTTTTTCATCATTTAATAGTAAGGCAGCAACTTTAATGTTACTTCTTTTAAAAAAAACATAACTGTGGCTACAAAGTTTAATCTGTGCTCATACCAAGTGTCCCTAAAAACAAATATAAGCATCAAGCTCTGTGCGCTCTAGTTTTTATAACAGTACAGTGCTGGGGGGAGCATTATGTTTAGGATGACTCCAGTGAGCCATCAGGCCATGCTTTTTGCCCCACCCAAAAAAAGTCCTGAACTCAAAAAGAACCAACTGTTTAATGGGCTACCTCCACAATACAGCACTACATGTCTTTTCACACATTGTCAACAACTATTTTATGACATGTATAATGTATTTAGAAACAAATCAATGATTTTGCTTTAATGACAGTTTAAACCTTGCAAATGAAAATCTTAGGTCATGTAGGTGCTTAGAAATACAGTAAGTTCAAAGTCAGTGGAAGATCTACAAAACCACATAAGAAGACTAGACAGAACAACTGAACAAAAGCCTGTGAGGGAAGGCCGACTGTACGAACCATCTGACACAAAGCTCACTCACCTTTCGGGTAATCCTCCAAGAGGAGGTTGAAGTGGCCGAGCTGGCAGAATAACTCAGGCTCCACTTTGCCCTCGGCCTTAAGGATGAGCGAATCGTAGCAGCGAACAGCCTGGGGAGAAGACAAACAACAAGCTGTCTCCACTGCGTTTTTATTATGCATCCACAGCACATCAGATAGGTTGGAAAAGGACATTAGCATCCAGGAGACAAACTCAGAGAGAGGCTGACATCAGCTCCATTTCTGGCCAAGCTAACCTGAATTCTTTTCAGCAGATAATGACCTGTGATTAAGTTTTTTTTTTTTTTTTTTTTTTCTATTACAGACCCTCCTGCCCTGTTTAAA